CGATACTTCCTGATAGTTGTCGACGACTACTCGCGCTACACCACGGTCTTCCCCTTGCGCAGCAAGGGTGACGTCCCTGATGTCTTGATCCCCTGGATCAGCCGAGCCCGTCTCCAGCTAGGCAAGCGCTTTCGCTCGGACTTTCCAGTCCTACGCTTGCACTCTGACAGAGGTGGTGAGTTCGCCTCCGACCTCTTGGCAGCCTACTGTGCTGAGCACGGCATCGAGCAGTCGTTCACGCTTCCGGCCTCTCCACAGCAGAATGGGGTCGCTGAGCGCCGCATTGGCTTGGTCATGGAGGTCGCTCGTACCTCCCTGACCCATGCGGCTGCTCCCCACTTTCTGTGGCCGTTTGCGGTCCGTTACGCAGCGCATCAGCTCAACCTCTGGCCCCGTGTCTCCTTCCCGGAGACTTCCCCGACTCTGCGGTGGACGGGAGAGGTTGGTGATGCGTCGCGTTTCCGGGTGTGGGGATCCCGAGCCTTTGTCCGTGATACGTCTGCGGACAAGATCTCGCGTCGCGCTGTTCCCTCTGTCTTTCTTGGCTTTGTCCCCGACGCGCCTGGCTGGCAGTTTTACCACGTCGCCTCGCGCCGGGTTCTGGCCTCTCAGGACGTCACTTTTGACGAGTCTGTCCCCTTCTACCGCCTCTTCCCCTACCGCACTGCCCCTCCCCCCCCACCGCCGCTCTTCCTCGCACCAGGTGCTGCTGTGGTAGACCCCCTCCCCCCTCAGGGTGCCGCTCCCTCAGGTGTGTCCCAGGTAGACCCGGTTGACCCTGTTGAGGTAGCTGTCGAGTCCCGCCCTGCCAGAGGTGCTGAGCCTGAGAGTGCGGAGCCTGACAGTCCCGAGCCTGGGGGTGCGGAGCCTGGGGGTACTGAGCGTGGGGGTGCGGAGCCTGGGGGTGTGGCGACTGGGGGTGCTGCGTCTGGGGGTGTTGAGCCTGAGCGCACTACGTCTGGAGGAGCTCTCTCCTCCCAGCAGCTGCAGGAGAGGTACCTACAGTACTGCCGCCTCCGGAGCGGAGCTTCTGGAGCTCGTCCCAGTACTTCCCCTCCTGCCCAGGAGCTCCCCCCCATTCCGCAGATCCGAGAGTGGTACGCGCGACGCTGCAGTCTCCGGAGTGGTGCCCCTGGTGCTGAGGACCTGGACGTTGGCGTTGTCGCTGGTGCTGAGGACCCGGGCGTTGGAGCTGCTGCTGGTGCTGCGGACCCGGGCGCTGGTGTTGTCACTGGTGCTGCGGACCCGGGCGTTGGAGCTGCTGCTGGTGCTGCGGACCCGGACACTGGCGTTGTCGCTGGTGCTGAGGACCCGGACGTTGGCGTTGTCGCTGGTGCTGAGGACCCGGGCGTTGGAGCTGCTGCTGGTGCTGAGGACCCGGACGTTGGCGTTGTCGCTGGTGCTGAGGACCCGGGCGTTGGAGCTGCTGCTGGTGCTGCGGACCCGGACGTTGGCGTTGTTGCTGGTGCTGAGGACCCCGCCGCTGCTGTCTCTACTGGTTCTGGAGCCGCTACGCGGCCGCGACCCTACTTTGTCCCGCTCCTTCAGCAGGTTCTTGGTCTCACGCCAGTCCAGTCGCAGTCACAGTTACCGCCCGCCTCCCCTCTCCCTGGTCCCTCTCCCTACACTGGTCCCACGGGAGGCCTTACTGAGCGTCGTGCGCCTGAGTCACGTCCAGCGTCGCCTGTCCGTACTGCGCGCACCGGTCGTCGTGCCCCGCGTGAGCGTCCTCCTCCTGTCCCGGGCACTCACTACATGACTCTGCGTCCCTCCACTGCTCCGCAGCGTGTCCCGCTGCCGTCTCCTCCTGAGTCTTCGCTGCCTACTCTTCCTGACCCGGAGTCTGACTCCCGTCGTGCTGCCAGTCCCACTGTCACGCTTTTTCTCGCTACTGTCGTCACTGACCCGTCTTTTGAGTCCGCTGCTGCGTCTGCTCTGGTCGCTGAGCTGGTTGACTTTGCTTCTCGCTGTCGCCTGGACTACGCTGCTAGCCTAGTTGCTGAGTCTGAGTCAGCCTGTCCTCCGTCCGTCGGGGGTGAGTGTGCTCTTGGCACGGACGTCCTTGAGGACAGACAGGAGGAGTTTCACTGCTTTGCTGCTGCTGTGCCTCATCTCGTGTCCATGCTTGTTGCCCCTGAGGGAGACCCGGATGCACCAGACATCCCGACCCCGCGCTCCTACACTGAGGCGATGGCGGGTCCCTACTCCTCTCAGTGGCAGACAGCCATGGACGCAGAGATGGCTTCCTGGAAGTCCACTGGCACTTACGTCGACGAGGTTCCCCCTCCTGGGGCGAACATCGTCAGTGGCATGTGGATTTTCAGGGTGAAGCGACCGCCGGGTTCTCCGCCTGTCTTCAAGGCGCGCTACGTGGCTAGGGGCTTCAGTCAGCGAGAGGGAGTCGACTTCTTTCAGACCTTCTCCCCCACCCCGAAGATGACTACTCTTCGGGTGCTGCTGCACATAGCCGCTCAGCGCGACTACGAGCTTCACTCTCTTGACTTCAGCACAGCTTTCTTGCAGGGCAGCCTGCACGAGGAGATCTGGCTGCGCCGCCCTCCTGGCTTCACTGGGTCGGTTCCCCCTGGCACCCAGTGGAGGCTTCAGCGGCCGGTCTACGGTCTCCGCCAGGCACCGCGTGAGTGGCACGACACACTGAGCACGACACTTGCGGCTCTTGGGTTTGCTCCCTCTACTGCTGACCCGTCGCTGTTTCTACGCACCGACACCTCGCTGCCGCCGTTCTACATCCTCGTGTACGTCGACGACTTGGTCTTTGCCACAGCGGACAGAGCTGGTCTCGCCCACGTGAAGTTGGAGCTGCAGAAGAGACACACGTGCACAGACCTGGGTGAACTGACAAGCTACCTTGGCTTGCGGATCACCCGGGACAGAGCACGGCGCACCATCACCCTGACTCAGTCACACATGGTGCAGCAGGTCCTTCAGCGCTTCCGCTTCACGTACTCCTCGCCTCAGCCCACTCCTCTGCCTACGGGACACTCGCTCTCAGCTCTGCCTTCGGATGAGTCCGTAGAGCCGAGTGGCCCGTATCCAGAGCTTGTGGGTTGCCTCATGTACCTGATGACCTGCACACGACCTGACCTTGCATACCCTCTTAGCATCCTTGCACGCTATGTCGCTCCCGGCCGTCACCGGAAGGAGCACATGGATGCAGCTAAGAGGGTGTTGCGCTACTTGTGCAGTACGTCGGGCATGGGGCTAGTGCTTGGAGGGCGAGACCGGCCTGTTCTAACAGGGCACTCAGACGCTTCTTGGGCAGACGACCAGGCTACTCAGCGGTCGTCACAGGGTTACACCTTCAGCCTTGGCTCAGGCTCAGTTTCCTGGCGTTCTACACGCTCTTCTTCTGTTCTCAGCTCCAGTTGTGAGGCTGAGATCTACGCCACAGCCATGGCTGCCCAGGAGCTACGCTGGCTGACCTACCTGCTGACCGACCTTGGAGAGCGGCCTGGTTCTCCTCCAGTGCTGTACGTCGACAACAAGGCTGCCATTGCCTTGTGTCAGGAGCACAGACTGGAGCACAGAACGAAGCACATTGCTCTGCGGTACTTTCTTGCTCGAGAGCTGCAGCAGCGTGGTCAGCTTTGTCTGCGTTACGTGGCCACTGAGGCCAACACTGCTGATGTGTTCACCAAGGCGCTTCCGCCTGTTGACCATCAGCGCTTTTGCACTCTGCTAGGCCTTGTGCCTACTGGACCTCACTTGCTTACTTCTTGACCCTGCTTGTACTGTGATCACTATATATATATATATGCCTGCATGTTTACTTTTGCTAGGATGTGATCACTGTATCTCTTGCTGTGTTATAAACCTGCATGTGAACTGGTCTTGTGACCCCTGTTAGGTTTGGCTATCCCCCTACTTCACCTATGGGGGTGTGTCAAATTATATGATTTATATAATTTAGGTTTAGGTTTTGTAGGGGTGTTTCTTAGGGGGTACAACTTTTCTCTCGTCACTTTTGTACCCCATGCCCCAAACTAGTCGACATCATTCCTCTCTCACCTTGACATAAATGAGCGGGGATAGGCTATGAGAGGCTTTATGTTTACGTAAAATACTTTGAGAGCATTAAACCGTTTAGATATTGTAGGCAAATAATCAAGCATCTTTCTAAATTTAAGAATACTTATATGAATTTTTTAGAGAATAGAAGACTAGATTCAACGTTGTACTTTGCGTAAAGACGTGAATATAATAAGGAACGTCACGTTTGCCTGGACACGTCACGTCTGCCATCTATCGGCGTTCACCCAATTATGTGGCCAATCAACAGCGGCAGTAGCACTCCAACGCACCAGGGTCTGATCACGTTCATGGAACCGACGCATTGCTGGATACAGCTCAGATGTTTAAGGTGTGGTGCTTGACGCGTGCTTGGTTTTGGTTGGGTAAATGATGTGGAATGCAACCGCCTGCCATTTATGTGCGGTACATTTTTCGTCTGAGCTGTCGTGCCAAATTCTCGTGTCAAATGTTATATCTGCTACAGTTTGTTTAGGCTGCAGTGGGGTAGTTACTATGGGGTACAGTAAGATTAGGGTTTTTTACTTGTACCCGACTCTTTCCTAGTTCAATCACCCTTGTTCATTCTGACATGGTATCACGAGCCTAGTTTAGCCACCTAGGACCGCTTACTACAGGTCCACCATTCCGCTAGAAGCGCCCTCATGCGCCCTACCTTACGTGCGCCCTCGTGCGCCCTACTCTGCTCGTGCGCCCTCGTGCGCCTTCTATCTGCTAGTGCGCCCTCGCACGCCCCGCCCTTTGTTCTGCCTGCGCGCCGTCCTCTGCCTGTGCGCGCGTGGCCCGCTAGCCACCAGCGCGCCGCCTGATCGACGCCCGCGCGCAATCCGCTAGCCGCCCACGCAGTTCGTACCGGCCTCTCGCGGCCCCTCGAGCCGCCCGCGACCTTCCTACATGTAGGCCGCCACCCGTAGGCTACTTGCCGCCCGTACGCTGCCCGTAGGCCGCCCTTACGCAGCCCGTAGGGCGCCCGTACGTCGCCCGTAGGCCACCGCCGCCCGTAGGCCGACGCTCGCGCGCAGGCTGTACCCCGCGCGCCACGGCTGCTGCACTCCGGCGGCTGCAGCCCGCCGGGACCCGCGCGTCGCCCCTACCTCTTCGCGACGCCCTTGCGGGCCCCGCGCGTTGCCCCCTGCCTCTTCGCGACGCCCTTGCAGGCCCCGCGCATCGCCCCCTGCCTCTTCGCGACGCCCTTGCGGGACCCGCACGTCCCTCCCCGCCTTGTCGCGACACCCCTGCGGGACCCGCGCGTCGCCCCTACCTCTTCGCGACGCCCCTGCGGGACCCGCGAGGCGCGGCTCCTGTGCGTCGCGCCGCCCCAGCGAGACCCGGGCGTCGCCCCCGCTCGTCGCGACGCCCCTGCGGGGCCTGTGCGACTTCGCCCCTGCCTGCCGCGTCGCCCTGTAGTACCCCGCGCCCGCCCTGCCCGCCGCGTCGCCCCTACTCTGCGCCTGGTCCCTGGAGCAGCCGTCCCTGCAGCAGCCGCCCCTGGCCCCTGGAGCAGCCACCACTGCAGCAGCCGCCCCTGGCCCCTGGAGCAGCCGCCACTGCAGCAGCCGCCCCTGGCCCCTGGAGCAGCCGCCCCTGGAGCAGCCGCCACTGCAGCAGCCGCCCCTGGCCCCGCCCTGCCGCTGTAGCGGCCTAGCAGTCGCCTCCGTCGTGCGCCTGCCCTTCCCACCACTGGTGAGCACGTCCCTACCCGTACTGCTGCTACTGCTTCTATTGCTGCTCCTGGCGTGGCCAGATGCAGCTCCAGGGCCGTCCGCATGTGTCCCTCACGCCCCAGCAGCTTCGTGAGTGGTACGCCCGTTCGGGCTGTCGGGGTGGCAGTAGTGGGAGTCGTCCTGGAGTGTGTAGTTCGGGAGTTTCTTGTAGTGGCTCGGTGTCGCAGCAGCGTCGTCTGAGCGAGACTCGTTTGCCCCAGTAGTTTCGTGAGTGGTACGCTCAGAGTAGAGGGTCATTGCGTACTGCTTGCTGCCTGTACGTTATTCGCACGGGTGTCCGGACCGGTCAGCCTTGCGGGTCGCCTGGTCACACAGAGTCTCACTGCTTCGCCCGCCTGAGCGATGCTTGGCATACAGAGTTTGGCGACGACGCTGAGCTTCCCGACTGGGTGGAGCTGCTTAGGCAGAGGGTAGATATCCTTGCTCTTGACTATGATGCTATTCTCACTACAATGTATGCATTGTCTACTAGTGCCGAGGGAGCCTGTCACCTGTGTGTGCCGCCTGACCCCGGTATCCAGTCTGCTGCTCGAAGTGCTGGTGAGGCAGCTGCTCTAGGCGCTCATGAGTCTGCTGCTTCCGATGCTTGTGAGTCTGCACTTTCAGGTACTACGTCTACTGAGGCACTGCACACCTTCACACTGGACTCAGGTGCTTCCCGCTGTTTCTTTCGCGACCGCACTACCCTCGAGCAGCTCCCTAGGACGGTTTCTATCTCCCTAGCTGACCCCTCCGAGGGTCCGGTCCTTGCGACCTCCACCATTGCCCTCCCTTGTCCTGCTGTCCCGTCTGGCACACTGTCGGGCCTTTACCTCCCCTCGTTCTCTACGAACTTGGTGGCGGGCTCCGCGCTCCAGGACGCGGGTGTTCACCAGTTCACCCCTGCCTACGAGCGTGTGACGCATTGCACGTGTGCCCAGACGGGTCGTCACCTGGCTACCTGCACTCGGCAGCCGGGGTCGGACTTGTACACATTGACCACTGAGTCCCCTCAAGTAGCTGCATCTGCGTCTGCATCAGGTTAGCTGTCGGCCCCCTGCTCGTGTCGCTCCCTGTCGCACCGGACTGTCCTCTGGCACCACCGCCTTGGTCACCCGTCAGTGCAGCGCCTTCGCGGCATGCACTCCCGGTACCTTGGTTCTCCCTCCCCTTCCACCCTCGTCTGCTCCTCCCTGTCTTCACTGTGTCGAGGGGCGGCAGCGCGCCGCTCCTCACTCCTCCTCGTTCCCTCCCACAGAGGCCCCCTTGCAGACTCTCCACCTGGACGTGTGGGGCCCAGCCCGCGTCCGGGGACAGGGCCACGAGCGGTACTTCCTGCTGGTCGTCGACGACTACACGCGCTGCACCACGGTCTTCCCTTTGCGTACCAAGGGTGAGGTCCCTGATGTCTTGATCCCTTGGATCCGCGCTGCTTGTCTCTAGCTCCGCAAGCGGATCCAGTCGGACTTTCCCGTCCTGCGTCTACACTCTGACAGGGGTGGTGATTTTTCCTCCGACCTCTTGGTAGCCTACAGTTCGTAGCACGGCATCCGCCAGACGTTCACTCTTCCGGCCTCTCCTCAGCAGAATGGGGTTGCTGAGCGCCGCATTGGCTTAGTCATGGAGGTCGCTCGTACCTCCATGATCCATGCGGCTGCCCCCCATTTCCTATGGCCGTTTGCAGTACAGTACGCCGCACATCAGCTCAACCTTTGGCCCCGTGTTTCTGCTCCGGAGACCTCGCCCACACTGCGTTGGACGGGGGAGGTTGGCGATGCGTCGGTGTTCCGAGTCTGGGGATGTCGAGCTTTTGTCCGCGATACGTCCACGGACAAGCTCTCCTCTCGTGCTGTTCCCTGCGTCTTCCTTGGCTTTGTCCCTGACGCGCCTGGCTGGCAGTTTTACCACCCCACCTCGCGTCGTGTCTTCCCCTCTCAGGACGTCACTTTTGATGAGTCGGTACCCTTTTACCGTCTTTTCCCCTACCGCACTGCCCCGCTCCCCCCCCCCCCCCCGCCACTCTTCCTCACCCCAGGTGTCCCGTCGGTAGACCCCCTCCCTCCCCAGGGTGCTGCTCCCTCCGGTGTGTTCCAGGTAGACCCGGTCAAGCCTGTCGAGGTAGCTGTCGACTCTGGTCCTGCGCGAGTTACTGAGCGTGCTGAGCCTGGTGGTACTGGGTCTCGGGGTACTGAGACTGGGGGTGCTAAGCCTGGGGGTGCGGAGACTGGGGGTGCTAAGCCTGGGGGTGCGGGGACTGCGGGAACTGAGCCTGGGGGTGCTGAGACTGGGGGTGCTCAGCCTTGGGGTACTGCGACTGGGGGTGCTGAGCCTAGAGGAGCTGAGGTTGGGGGTTCTAAGACTGACGGTGCTGCGCCTTTTGGCTCTCCCTCTTCATAGCAGCTGCGTGAGTGGCACTCCCAGCGTTACAGCCTCCGGCGTGGGGCTACTGGAGCTGGGGGTTCTGCTGGAGTTGGGGCTGGTGGTCCTATATATGCAGTGTCGGGTCCGGAGCCTCCCTCCCCTCAGCGGCTACGTGAGTGGCACGCTCGGCGCTGCAGCCTCCGGAGTGGAGCTTCTCGTGTTAGGGTGCCGCCCGCTGGAGGCCCTGCTGCTGCTGGAGGTCCTGGAGCTACTAGAGGTTCTCCTGGTGCTGGTCCTGCTGGAGGTGCTGCTGGTGCTGCTGGAGGTAATGGACCTGCTGGAGGTGCTGCTGGTGCTGGTCCCGCTGGGGGTGCTGCTGGTACTACTGGAGGTACTGGAGCTGCTGGAGGTGCTGCTGGTTCTGGTCCCACTTGGGGTGCTGCTGGTGCTGCCAGAGGTACTGGAGCTGCTGGGGGTGCTGAGGGCGTTGGCGCTACTGCTGGAGGTTATGGTGCTGTCTCTGCTGGTTCTGGGGGCACTTCACGGCCATAGCCGTACTTCGTTCCCCTCCTTCAGCAGGTTCTTGGTCAGTCGCCTCCTCCTTGTCCTGCTCCCTCCTTAGAGTGTCCTCCGCCTGTCCACTCGCAGTCACAGCTACAGCCTGCCTCGCCACTCCCTGGTCCTTCTCCCTACACTGGTCCGACAGGCGGTCTTACTGAGCGTCGTGAGCCTGAGTCTCGTCCTGCGTCGCCTGAGTCTCCGTCTGCGTCACCTGTTCGTGCTGCTCGCACTGGTCGTCGTGTTCCGTGTCAGCGTCCTCCTGCTGTCCCAGGCACTCACCAGATGGCGCTTCGTCCTTCCACTGCTCCACAGCGTGTCCCGCTGCCTTCTCCTTCTGCGTCCTCTCTTCCTGCCCTTGCTGACCCAGATTCTGACTCTCTTCGTGCTGCTAGTCCTACTGTCACGCGTCTCCTGGCCACTGCTGTCACTGACCCTTCCTTTGAGTCAGCTGCTGCGTCTGCCTTAGTTACTGAGCTTGTCTAATTTGCTGCTCACTGTCGTCTAGACTGCGCTGCGAGTCTTGTTGCTGAGTCTAAGTCTGTCTGTCCTTCGTCCGTCGGGGGAGAGTGTGCTCTTGGCACGGACGTCCTTGAGGACGGGCAGGAGGAGTTTGAGTGCTTTGCCGCTGCTGTACCTCATCTCGTGGCCATGGTGCCTGAACCTGAGGCAGACACGGATGCTCCAGACATCCCGACCCCGCGCTCTTACGCTGAGGCCATCGCGGGTGAGTACTCCTCTTAGTGGCAGACAGCCATGGACGCAGAGATGGCATCGTGGAAGTCCACCGGCACTTATGTCAACGAGGTTCCCCCTTTTGGGGCGAACATCGTCTGTGGCATGTGGATTTTCAGGGCTAAGCGGCCGCCAGGTTCTCCGCCTGTCTTCAAGGCTCGTTACGTTGCTCGAGGCTTCAGTCAGCGAAAGGGAGTAGACTTCTTCTAGACCTTCTCTCCCACCCCGAAGATGACCACTCTTCGGGTGCTACTGCACGTTGCCACTTAGCGTGACTACGAGCTTCACTCTCTTGACTACAGCACAGCTTTCTTGAAGGGCAGCCTGCACGAGGAGATCTGGCCAGGGCCCGTGCTAGGTTTTGGGGCATCCTGAGGCCTCAGGGCAACTGTCCAGAATATGAAAAAATGCCCTGATTTGTCAGGGCAAATTTTCAGAGGCTTCCTGTGATTTCAGGGCATCTACAGAAAATTATCCTGGCCTGTCAGGGCAAAAATACAAGTGTTCAAGGTTCTGTTCTTAACACTTCTAGTGGCACCAGCATTGTCCTACTCTTGCCAACTAATCAATGGTAGATAACACCACCAAACTAGACCAGAGAATACCACTGCTACTCTAACAGCAACACTGGAAGGGTGCATGCATGGCACACGAGGAGATGAGTGTTGCCTTGCCCAACCTGTTCCCAACCTGAAGGCTTTGGCTGGTGCGTTGCAAGGGGTCGGACTGTCAATGGAATCGTGCGAAGGCTGGAAAAAGATACGGGGAAAAAAATCCCCGGGAAGAAAATTCCCCGGGAACAGGCCCTCCCTCCCCCCCCACCTCCCCCCCTTCATCCCCCCCTTTAAAAACGCGTCAGGGCAAGCCTCCGCATTCATCCTAACGCTTCAGGGAAGAACACCACGGCCATCCTGAATGTCCAGGGCATTTTACATAACAACACCCTGAGACCACAGGGTTAAAATTGACACTATTCTGAAATTACAGGGCAAATTTAAAATTGGATCCTGATTTCAGGGTAATCAGGATGTTTTGTCCTGATAACGTGGGGCCTGGATCTGGCTGCGCCGCCCTTCTGGCTTCACTGGGTCGTTCCCTCCTCGTTCCCAGTGGAGCCTCCGGCGGCCGGTCTACGGTCTCTGCTAGGCGCCACGTAAGTGGCACGACACCCTGAGGACTACACTTGCGGCTCTTGGGTTCTCTCCTTCTATGTGAAGAACGAGGAATGAATGAACTAGCCAGCAGGTGGGTACAAGTAGGAAAACCTAAAAGTGTTGTACCCCATATTGTCTACCCCACTACAGCCTACACAGACTATAGCATATGAGTTCGACACAACCCCATAGGCAAAGTGGGGAAGAACAAGAGGTCACAAGACCAGTAAAGCAACGCAAAGCAAGCTCAGGGTGGATCACAACGTCACCACACAGTCTGAGCACAAGAGCAAGGCCACAAGGCCAATTAACATGCAAGATCATATATAAAGGTTAACAAGCAAGTGCAGGTATAGAAAGATCACAGTACAAGCAAGGTCAAGAAGTGAGCAAGTGAGGCCAAGTAGGCACAAGACCTAGCATCGTACAAAAGCGCTGATGATCACAAGGCGGAAGTGCCTTGGTAAAGATATCAGCAGTGTTGGCCTTAGAGGCCATGTAAGCAAGGTGCAACGGACCACGCTGCTGCAGCTCACGAGCAAGGAAGTAGCGAAGAGCAATGTGCTTCGTTCTGTGCTCAAGTCTGTGCTCCCGACACAAGGCCAGCATGGCCTTGTTGTCTACGTACAGAACTGGAGGAGAACGAGGCGGCTCTCCTAGGTCAGTCAGCAGGTAGGTGAGCCAGCATAGCTCCTATGCAGCCATGGACGTCGCCCTCCAAGCACTAGCCCCATGCCCGACGTACTACACAAGTAGCGCAACACCCTTTTTGCTGCAGCCATGTGCTGTTCGGTGTCTCCCAGGAGCAACATAGCGTGCCAAGATGCTACGAGGGTATGCTAGGTCAGGTCGTGTGCAGGTCATCAGGTACATGAGGCAGCCAACAAGCTCTGGGTAAGGGCCACTCGGCTCTACGGACTCATCCGAAGGCAGGGCTGAGAGCGAGTGGCGAGTAGACAGAGGAGTGGCCTGAGGCGAGGAGTACGTGAAGTCGAAGCGCTGAAGGACCTGCTGCACCATGTGTGACTGAGTCAGGGTAATGGTGCGCTGTGCTCTGTCCCGGGTGATCTTCAAGCCAAGGTAGCTACGCAGTTCATCCAGGTCTGTGCACGTGTGTCTCTTCTGCAGCTCGGACTTTACGTGGGCGAGTCCAGCAGTGTCAGCAGTGGCAAAGACCAAGTCGTCGATGTACACGAGGTTGTAGAACGGCAGCAAGGAGGTGTCGGTGCGCAGAAACAGCGACGGGTCGGGAGTAGACGAAGCAAACCCAAGAGCCGCAAGTGTAGTCCTCAGTGTGTCGTGCCACTCACGTGGCGCCTGGCGAAGACCGTAGACTGGCCGACGGAGGCTCCACTGGGTACCAGCAGGAAACGACCCAGTGAAGCCAGGTGGGCGGCGCAGCCAGATCTCCTCGTGCAGGATGCCCTGCAAAAAAGCTGAGCTGAAGTCAAGAGAGTGAAGCTCGTAGTCGCGCTGAGCGGCTATGTGCAGCAGCACCCGAAGAGTGGTCATCTTCAGGGTGGGAGAGAAGGTCTGAAAGTTGTCAACTCCCTGCCGCTGACTGAAGCCTCGAGCCACGTAACGCGCCTTGAAGACAGGCGGAGAACCCGGCGGCCGCTTCACCCTGAAAATCCACATGCCTCTAATGATGTTCGCCCCAGGTGGGGGAACCTGGTCGACGTAGGTGCCTGTGGACTTCCAGGAAGCCATCTCTACGTCTATGGCTGACTGCCACTGTGAGGAGTAGGGACCCTCGATCGCCTCAGCGTACGATCGAGGAGTCGAGATGTCTGGTGTATCCGGGTCTCCCTCAGGGCAATCAGCGTGGACACGAGATGAGGCAAAGTAGCAGCAAAACACTGGAACTCCTCCTGCATGTCCTCAAGGACGTCCGTGCTAAGAGCACACTCACCCCCGACGAACGGAGGACAGACAGACTCAGACTCAGCAACAAGACTAGCAGCGTAGTCTAGAGGACAGCTAGCAGCAAAGTTAAAAAGCTCAGAAACTAAGGCAGACGCAACAGTCGACTCAAAAGAAGGGTTAGTGACAACAGTAGCCAGGAGACGCGTGACAGTAGGACTGGCAGCACGAAGAGAGTCAGACTCCGGGTCAGCAGGAGTAGGAAGAGAGGACTCTGGAGGAGACGCCAACGGGACATGCAGAGGAGCAGTGGAAGGACGCAGTGCCATCTGGTCTGTGCCAGGGACCACAGGAGGACGAGGACGCCGAGCACAACCACTAGTGCGAGCAGCATGAACAAGCGACGCAGGACGAGACGCAGGCTCATGACGCTCAGTAAGACCTCCAGTAGGACCAGTGTAGGGAGAAGGAGCAGGCAGGGGGGAGGCGGGTTGTAACTGTGACCACGACTGGACAGGCTGTGGACACGCAAAGGGAGGAGCAGGACCAGTAGAGGGCGGGAGACCAAGAACCTGCTCAAGAGGCAGAACGAAGTACGGCCTCGGCCGCGCAGCGTCTCCAGAATCAGCAGGGACAGCACCAGTACCCCCAGCGGCAGCACCAGCGCCAGCAGCACCTCCAGCTCCATCAGCGCAAACTCCAGCACCCTAAGAAGCACCAGCGCCAGCAGAACCACCAGCGCCAACACCCCCAGCAGCTCCAGCTCCAGCAGCACCAACTCCAGCAGGTGCGTCAGCTCCAGTACCGCCAGCAGCTCCAGCAGTACCTCCAGCAGGGCTCCCAGTCCCAGCAGCTCCAGAACCTGTTATGTGATGCTATCATTTGCATTCACGTCTGTCTGCCTCCCATCATGTGTTCGTGCGTTGCATGTGTGAAATGAGCGTGCGCAAGAATTTGTGTTTTTCTGTGGTTTGGATTTTCTGAGTGTGTGTGAATGTTATTTGGCTTGAGCAGATATCTGAAGTGACTCCACTGCTCAAGATCTTTCCGACGAGCCAAGAATCGTCGCGATTGGAGCAATATCAAGAAAGTTACGAACGTTGGAGTTCGTATGCTTTCTGTACTTCGGTTGTGGCGACTATGGGAAGCTGTGGGGTTGACTCAATATGGGGTACAGACTTTTGGGGGTTGGGAATTCGAACCCATCACTGTAGAATGCTGCCATGTGGTTGGGTGAAGCCAAACCAGGTTGGCAAGTGTGGCCAAGTGGGTTGAGGTGGATGGCATGAGTTGGGAAAGTGACAAATGTGAAAGTGGGGTTGCCTATGGGGAAGGGAATTGTGTGGCATGGGGTTTCCTTGGTTGGGGAATCTCTTGGGACCTTCCCTCTCGTCCTCCTCTTCCCTCCTACCTGGTTTAGTGCTACCCTAACTCTCTTGTGTGTAACTTTGTGGAACTTGTGAGAACTATTTTTGTTATTGAGTTAAGCATGTGGCAGCATACCCCCTAGTGCGCCAAAATTGATAACTCGAGAAATACTCCACCTTATCACACGATTCAACTTGGGAATTGTAGCCATGGACTAGAGCTACAACATATGTGAAATTCGTGAAGTTTTGACGGTGCGTTTTTCGTCCACGGCGTTTCTTGTGAACTCGACGATTCTGTCCAGAATTTCAAGCCAACGATTTTGAGAAATTTAGGCTCCTAATCTTCACAGACTCGATCCTTAGTCTCTAACAAGTGGTATCAGAGCTGATTAAGGACCTTGTGGGGAGTCTACTGAAGTGTGAAGACCCTCCTAGACCCACCATGGCCTGTGGGCGTGCCTAAGTGGAGTTCTGGAGGTTGAATGTGACTTCCGCTAAGGGGAAACTCTGCCGAAAGTTTCGTTGGCGCCGACAGTTGTGAAGATTGTGTGGATCTACATATTGACCAGCAAAAGGGGGAGCTGAAACCTCTGATTGGGAGAAGAGAAGATGAGTCAAGGGG